GAGCGGGCAAGAGCTGCAAACGCAACCGAGAAAAAGCTTGTAGTAAATAACTGAGTATCACAGTTATGTCATTCTTCCTCTCAAGCTCGGTACAAGCTGAGACTGCACCTACTTGGACATACAAGGGAGCAAAGAGCAGAGAGGAGTCGCTCACATCTCAGAGCAGCCTGCCAAGTGTGTGAGCTGCGTGTGCAAGGAAGGCACAAGCAAGGTGGAAAGGGGAGGCTGGAGAAAGGCAGGAAGCCAAATGAAACCCCAGTTCCTGACCCTCAACAATGAGCAGAGCTGAGCAACAAACAGGATTTTGGTTTTAAAAAAGTGCAGTGCCTTACTTCCTCCCTCCCCTAAAGCACTGGCACTCTCTCCCCATCCCCCACAGCCCCGGCAAGAACAGATCCTCCCCCCGCCTAGTTATAAGCCAGCACACTCATACAAGAAACACTGCATGTCGGTGCTGGGATCAGCCACTTCTGGGTGCCTGACGGAGGAACCATTTTAACAGTGCACAGCAACAGCTGCCAACTTTAGACGCAACAAAACATTTGGAGATAAAGGGGAAAGAAACATCTCTGATGCTTTTTCAGCTTGCTCAATTTGGTCATGTGACAGCACAAGGAAAAGTTATTTTCCTCCATTTCCTCTACAGTCAATTTCTTGTTTCTGTGAATATTTCGACAGGTCCAGAAGGAAAAACATGATACAAACCACACACAATTTTTTTTTCTTTTGCAGCACTGCTGGAGACTCCTGACCAAAGGGCAGGGAAAAGTAAAGTACCGTCTCCAAACATCCAGAGCTGGCAGGAGCTCGCCTGTCTCAAAGCAGCAGATAAGAGCATGGGCTGGGCCTGGGCTCCCCCCAGCATCACAAACTGCATTTGCTAACTCAGCTGCTCTCTTGCTTTGCACGAATTGGTCTTGTTTTCTCTTCAAGGAAGCAGGAGCAGACCTACCAACACCACCGGCCTGTTTCAACTAATTATTTCTCTTCCTTCCCGCCCCACCAAAAATAAATGAAAAAGAACAGTTAATACTCAGAGCACGAGAGAGGGGGAGGCAAAGGGAACGAGGATATAATTATACCAGGCCCCCAACCTCACGGAGCCCCCAAAATTATGCAAGTTTTCTTTCCGAAGAGGCATTAAAATGTGAGTAACATAATCATTGCAAGTGGCACGGGATCCCTCGAGCCCACGCGGACGTTTCACAGACACGGGACGTTGGCTGCTGCGGTTCTCCCGCTTTACCCGGGGCAGGTTTCTCTGGAGTTTGCGTACGACAGCGGTTCCCAACCTCTGTTATACAGCGGGCCGGCATGGGAGCAGGATGGGGCGCGCGGAGCCGGCTGCCTCCCTCCCGGGGCTCCCCAACCTTCACCCCGCGGGCCTGGGGTCTGAGCGGGGTGCTTGCGGCAGCCAGCCCTGGGCAGCCTGGTACTGGGTGGTTTGGAGAGGGACGCCCCTGCTGCTGGCCAGGTCAAAGGCCCCTTCTGGCCCGATTTCTGCGCTTCTCCGACAGGCATCAACGGAGCGGATGGTTAGCCGTTGCTTCCAAAACCTGCACGTCCCGCCTGGGCCCCGCGTGGGGCTTGTCCGTCTCTGGTAGTGCCAAGCCTGCTCTCTCCAGAGGGGAAGCCCCAGAGGAGACGGGTGGCTTATAACTCTCCGGTCACCCAGAAGTCAGGGCGCGAGGGGGCACGGCGCACGTTACGTACATGGCGCGGATGAACCAACCGCGCCATCAATGGAGACAGGCCACACACCTGAGCGCAGGTGCGGGGCGGGCGACAAGAGCCGAGCTGCAGAGAGGTGCCAGGACCCCCGCCCCAGCCCCGGGGGTGCTCACACCCGGCCCCGGCCCCCTACCTCGCTCGTCGGCGAAGCAGAC